CCTGTAACTCCGTAAGGACTGAGGAAGTAAGATACCGGGAAGCTCCAGGGATGGGTTGTGATTGAGACGCCATTGGTTCTTCCAAATACTCTCGTCCTTCGTTTTCCCCCTGCTTTTTTGAGCTTTTTCGTCTCTGTTGGGGGGGGGGGGAAAAATGGAGGGAAAATTTTAGGGTTTAAAAAATTTGGAGGAGATCGAAAGAGCGTAGATGGATTTTATTTTGGGTTTTTAGTTTTAGTTTTTGAATTTTGGTTTTTAATTTTTAAATTATATAATATTTAAAAACTAGAAAAAGTAGTTTCTAATTTTTATTTAATTTTTTCATTAAAATGGTTTTCCAATTTCTAAATTTTTAAGAAAAATAATTTTGTAAAAATTTGAATGATAATTTTTTTGGTTTTTGGATTCTAAAAATTCTAAAAATTTCGACTATTCAACCTTTTTAAAGGCCGAAGTTGCGTACTGCGATATTGGACCTGAGCTTTATGATATTGGGCCTGAGCTTAGGCTTGGGCTTGGCACTTTAAATCATCACAGTTTCTGTTGGGGCCCATTTATCTTCATGAGATTATATTTGTTTTTGCATGCGCATGTGCGGTAATACAACTGTGATGTCATTTACTAATATAATGAATTTTTTTTATAATCCTAAAATTCACATTAGTCTCAACTACATTTTTGTAGAGAAACATAAAAACCCAAATAAGTGTGACTCGAATTGGACTGAAAAAGATTTTTGTTTGCTTTAGTGGTGGATACACCTATTTTTTTTCTATAATATGAGAATTTATCGTATTTTCGATTCTATTATATTTTTTTAAAAACGAAGAAAGTAGGTGAGTATCTCTATCTAAATAGATACTCAAACTCGAGTTAATAAAGACTTTTACATCACCTCTTGACATTTAAACCACCTAATTTTGGATTGAATTATCTAGATTAAATATCTTTTTATCCGTATTTTATTATATGCTTCGGAGAAGTCTTCTTTACCTGACTTAAATCGTGGTAATACATTACCAAAAAAAAAGATTGTCAATAAAAAAATTCGCAACAACATGTTTTTCTTTTGTTAAAGAACGACATGTTTTTCATATTTGTATATGTAAATATAAACTATAGATATATTATTGCTATTAATAGGCAAAGCCCTAAAAGGTTAACCTAAAATAATAATAATAATAAATGGACCCCTACTTTTTAAAGTTTATTTTTTCAGTTGTCATATCATATACTATTCAATATGCAAAGTTTTATTCTATGATTATATGTATGAAAAAGTTTTTCTTTTATGTAACCAGTTCAATATCAAATGTATTTATTTTTGTTAATGTATAGGTTTGAATATTCGATTTTAGGGTACTTGCTTTAGTTCGAATCTAATTTTGTGAATATCCGTTTATCCAAATCCAAATCGAATAATAATTTTATCCAAATCCAAATGGAATAATAATTTTTTAAAAAACGGATACTTACGAATACTTCACTACTTTTGTTACAATCGATTACATCCCTATATACTTACAATATTTTCATAAAATATAATTGTTTTGGATTAATGATTTATTGATTTCTCACCATTGTTTGACAAACACCAAAATCATCTTTCATCTATCTCTGTCACCCATTCACTTTATATCATATTTTCACCGCGACTCAACTCTCTAAAATCATACATCCAATTTTTTTTAAAAGAATTTACAAAAATATTTGTTTTTAAATAAATCTAGATCTGAATACCTATGAATACACGAAAATCGTTCTCAATACTCGTATCCTGGATACTCGTGACCTTCAAATCCGAGTACAAATATTAAATAAGATACCCAATCTTTTGGATATAAATCCAAATACTCTGATTTCTGCTGATCAGCGTACAAAACTACGTACAGGTCTCATCATTAACGTTCACATTAGATATGCAAAATAACTACATTCATTGACTTTAATAATGGACCGAGAATCGTTAAAAAAAAAAGGGAAAATGACATAAATCGACACAGATTATTCTAAATGTATAAAATTAATACATCAATTTTTAATTTGACAAAATCCCACACTCGATTTCAAATTTTTCCGATTTCCATCACAAATTGTTTTTAAAATTTTCAATTACCACCACATTGGGAATTTACCGTACCACATCAGCGTCTCATGGCTGATGTGGCGTGACACATCCTAAAAACTGCCACATCAGATGACACGACACGTAATCTGGTACGTCAGCAACTCGGGTTACTGAAATTGGTTCATTTAATCGAATCGGTTAAGTGAAAACCGATTTTTTTTTTAAAATTGGGATTTAGGGTTTCGAAGCCCTAAATAACAATCTCACATTCAGAACCTCTCTCCTCTCCTCTCCTCTCCTCTGGTGAGATGAGCTCCGGCGTGGTTCCGACTCGTGTCGATGTTGCTCTGGCGTGGTTCCTGGTCGTCTCGGTGGTTCGCTCCTGCTTTTGATTGAGGAATAGGGTTCCGAAGGCCATGGCTTCACACTTAGGCCTCCGCCATTGTCGTCTTCTTCATCTTCTCTTTCTTCTTCGTTAAAAGGAAGGTGGAAGGAGCTGTTGGGCTTCAAGAGAGACCACGTTGGATCCAAGAAAGCTCATAAGATCAGTGAGGAGAGATTTGTTCACTCGGATAACAAACAATCTCAGGTACTTTTTTTTTCATTTCTCTTTACAAAATCCTGTCAAGTGGGTGTCGCGTTATTTCATCGTTTGCTCAAATGTTTTGTTTTTCATTTGGGTTTTGTTCTTCTGTTTTCAGGAAGGAGAGTTCTCAACTTGGAACGAAACGGATAGTGGCATGCAGTGAACCCGGATTTTGTCCTAGGATGATGTTTAGTTCACTGATTTTAAGTTAGATTTTGTTAATCTTAGATCTAAAAAAAAGATTGTTAGAATCTTGTTAATGGCAGTGGCCGAGATGATTTTTCCATTGACTCTTTCCACTTTTCATGTTTTTGTCGAATCTGGTCAGGTATTTTACTTTCTAAGAAAATATATATATATAATGGTGAAATCATTATCTGGGTATTGTTCGAATTGGAGTTGGGAATTTGGGTGTTTGGTTGTACCAAAAGAAAAAACGCAATCGTTATGTTATGATGTTGGAGTTGAATTTCGGCATGTGATTTGTCTGATGGAGTCGAACCACCGAGACCACCAGAAACCACGTCGAAGCAACCACCGAGACCACCAGGAACCACGTCGAAGCGAAACCCTAAATCCCATTTTTTTTTAAAAAAATCGGTTTTCATTTAACCGATTCGATTAAATGAACCAATTTCAGTAACCCGAGTTGTTGATGTAGCAGATTACGTGTCATATGATGTGGCAGTTTTTAGGATGTGTCACGCCACATCAGCCACCAGACGCTGATGTGGTACGGTAAATTCCCTTTGTGGTGGTAATTGAAAATTTTAAAAACAATTTGTGATGGAAATCGGAAAAATTTGAAATCGAGTGTAGGATTTTGTCAAATTAAAAATTGATGTACTAATTTTACACATTTGGAACAATCTGTGTGGGTTTATGTCATTTTCCCAAAAAAAAATAAAGAGGTTATTTTTTTTTACTTGAGGATAACGAGGAAACGACGGCGTTCGAGCTCATAGAGAGCCTCCACGACAGCAGAGTCGTAGGAACTCTTCTTGTCTGGCCTGGCTTCTCCTGACCACTTCACAACAGCTTCCTCCTTGCTCGGTACCTGAATCGTCACGACCGACGTGAAACTGCTAAAGCTCGTTCTTTTCTCGGCACCTTCCCCGAATTCCATCGCAGTCCTGCGACCAGAAAGAACTCCGGTCATGATGTCTGAACGGGGAAATACGCTCAGAAACCCGACCAGAACATTGAAAACCCCAAAATGAGTTATCTCACCGGGAATTCTCCTCTGTCGTCTCGAAGGTGGGTGTTGGCCACAGATGTTTCTTGCAGAAGCTGAAAAGTGCTGTCCGAGGCCCGCCTTTCATTGTGCTTATAGGCCCGATGACTGAAAACGATACGATTCAAACAAATAGCGTTACTTGTTCCCCAAGTAAACTACACCAGAAGGCGATGAGCTATAGGGCTAGCAGAAGAAACAACAATTGAATGGATAGATCATGCGTATTTCAGAATTCCCTTCTTCTCTCTTAAGACGTTTGTGTACAATACCCTAAACCCTAAACCCTAAACCCGACTAAACGGAAGAAACCAGCTGAAGGCTGATTACAAGTACCTGGAATTCCAGTTGAATCTGAAGGGGATACAGCTCTGTTGATACGAGAAGAATCACTTCCACCAATCTGCTCGTCTCTCGTCAACGACATGTTGCGAGAAATGTTTCTCTCCTGAGGAATCAACGGCCGTTTTCGCAAATCAATGCACCAACTTGCATCCAAAATCATTCACATATATAACCGCGAAAGGCAATACCTCTAGTTGTTTCAGCAGAGAAGAAGCGGCTTTTCCCTTGGATAGTTTAGTACTCCGTTCTGATCCTTCTCCGATCAAACGAACATCGTGGAGCTGCAACTGGATCCTCGAGTGTATCTTCTCGCCATGGTTCGTGTATTTCACACAGATCGGGTACCCGAAAGAATCACATAGCTCGCTCAATTCCCGGAATGGAGGCAGCTCAAGATTTTCCGGAGTCACTAGCGGAGAAAGCAACGACTCTATCAGTCTCCATACCTCACTCAGATTCATTCTTGTATCGATCAGTAACGCAGCCGTGATACTCTCCACCAAGTCCCCTAGAGCCTAAACCAAAAACACAGTCAGTACAAGTAAAACCTGTGATTTTTTTTTTCCTGATTCCTTCAAAATTTTCCCAGGTTTCTCGGATTCCAAACAACAACCTGTTTGCCCTTTTTCGGATTCTAGACCTTCAAGATCGAAAAATGTGTGCCAACAATTTTACCTTAGGACCCTGTATCGAGGGAATTGTTCTACCGGTCTCATCAGGTTCAGGAAAGGATCTCAGGTACTCGTTTATTTGAGCCTCCATTACCGAACAACAGTGCTGAAGGTGGCCAGCCAGATTCTTCCTCACCGCAACTTGGGCAAAATTCTCGTTACATACATTTGCAGATCGAAGGTCAGTCATATATCCCGGGCCTGTCTCTGTATAGGTCTTATATAGATGCCGGGTAATAAGGATATCCAGCACAGAATCTCCAAGAAATTCAAGCCTCTGCAAGAAGAACGATTCGATAGCATATAAAACTATGAATATCGCACAGAAATGAAAAAGATAAGAAAACTCAGTGTTGGAAATGGATAACCTCATAAGAATAGGGTTCATCAGAAGTCTTGTGTGTTATAGCCTCTTTTAGTAGGAACTTAACCGAGAATTCATGTCCGATCTTAGCCTGTAACTCCGTAAGTTCATCGTTCTTAGGGATGTAAGATTGTAGAGACGCAATATTTAGAGCTTCGTCGACTATTTTCGGGTCAAACTCGACATCGACACCGAGCCATTTCATCACATGAAGAGCCGGAGTCAATCCACCGCTCACGTAATACGCGCCAATTAGAGCCTCGGCACAATCTGATATGGCCTTCGACACCATCCATCTATGACCCATATCACAAGATTTCCCGAGTTTGACTTTTAGGTCTTCAGAAAAGAATTTCGGGTCCAGAGGTACTTCTTTCGTCAAAATCCCGCATTTACAAGGAACGGGAAAAAGAGAACGTTGACCAGGCGCTGTCCAACGACGGGGCTCGAAAGCACCGTTCCTTACGTATCCCTACCAAGTAAAAAATATCAAAAGTATGAAAACCCCGAATCATGCAATGTTACATGAACTACAATACTAGATTTCTGATTGGATTTCACGCAACGAAAGAAGAATCCCGAGTGTGATTTCTGATTTTGATCGGTAGGAAAACATTAAAAATGTACCTGTAACTTGCGAATGGTTGCCAACCGATGAAGGTTCGCATTAGAAATGATTGATTTCCGCCGTCCCGTTAGTTGTCGCTCGTTTTCGTCGGGATACTTGAAGTATAAATTACAGCTCACGGTATATTTCAGAACCGAATCCCCGAGCAGTTCCAGTCTCTCCATGGAAAATGTCTCGCAGCATAGTAGTGTCGTAAGTGCTTCAAGAATCTGATCAAACCAACAGTAGAATGGTTACTTACCTGTTCAAACTTCTAAACGAGAATGTAACCGAGTTTTGCGAAACTGACCAATGAACTCGGAATACTGAAATTATCGATGTGACAACCAATCTCCTTCCTCAGCTGGCTCGCCAACATTAGGGTTTCCAGTCGGTGCATCACCGAAGGCATTAAGTATATCGAACGTATTACGATACGAGGTACTTCGATAATTACCAAGAGCTCGGGTGGCAGATGTGAATGTATTTGGGGTTTCCTTTCTTTAAATAGGTCACCTCTCGGTCCTGCCTTCATATCACCTATCCATTTTTATCGGAAAAAATGGTTAGAGCTCATATGACATTTATGTATGCATCCCCGTGTCAGAGAGTCTCGAGAATGAACTATATAATACAATTCCATATCTGCCTTCATATCACCTTCCTCATTGAAATTGACTAGAAGGTTATGTGCATTGTGGCTCTGCTTTAACCGCAACATGGGCTGATCCGGATGCATCAAAACAATTCCATATCTGTAAAAAGAGAGAAAAATCTCATTCGTAGGACTATAATAATCACATGTTTCAAGAAGTGTATCGGTAGAAAAACGACCCGAAAATCACTAACTTTTTGTAGTAATAGTCGGTGTAACTAGAATATTCCGGTGAGATACCGCCCTCAAACAGGCTTTTAGCAGAAGAATCTTTTTCCACTTCGACTACAGTGTATACCCTTCCAGTATGAATTGCTGTTACCGTCATTTCTTTGAGGCTGTCTTGATCAAATGAACCATTGGAAAAATGAATCAAATTTGTTTTCCTTCCATATTCATCCTCTGATGAGACCTCGTAACCCGGGAGAGTTTTGCAATGATTTCCATCGTTAACCCGAAGTTCCAGAGGAGAGTTTTTCTTGAGGACCTCAATGGCTGAGACACATGAATTGATAGCAGACCAGTTGATTCTCCATGATTCTCCCCTAGGAACTATATGATCCATTTCGAGGGGCAGTAGAAGAAACATGTAGGATGGGTCCCAGAGAGATTTTGTTTCGTTATGAAGCAAAAATTCCCTTTTCATTTCCGATGACTTAGATCCAACGAACAACTTCCCGAATAGACCATTAAAGAAAAACTCCTGAAAACACTTTGCTTTCACCATCTGCATGATTTTCCCAAGTAAACGAGAAAGAAAAGTTTAAAACTAAACTACTGAGAGATCGAAAAATGCAAATGATAATGTGTAGTACCTCCTCATGAGTAAAATACCGTTGGCCACAAGATGAGACAGAAGCCTTCACGAACTTCCTGACCAAATAAAGATTTATCTCGACGTTTCCAACATCGCCATCAAGGGCCGACTCAATCAAAAGAACGAAACTTGAGTATAGCTCTCTAGCAACATCGCATGAAAAGTCAATTCTATAAGCCTGGAAGACGGCACCGTCAAGTTTTTCTCCCCAAGTTCCGGACAGTGCATTTACACAGGTCGTTCCATGTAATTCCTTTCTTTTCGTCGTCCCTTCAACGTTAGACAAAGATAGAAGATCAAATTAATATACACTAAAGCTTAATGACCTTAGACTCACATAAACATGCTCTTCTCTTAAAATGGCCAACAGAATTTCGAGGATTTAAGTCTGCTACTAAACCTATAGAAGATCATATTGACATATAATAAAGCTTAATGACCTTAGACATACATAAACATGCTCCTCTCTTAAAATGGGCAATGGATTTTCGAAGATATAAGTCGGCTTACTAAACCTCAAATTGATATATACTAAAGATCAATGAACTTAGACCCACATAATCATGCTCCTTTCTTAAAACGGGCAATGGATTTTCGAAGGTTTAAGTCTGCTACTAAACCCACCTGCACCGGCTGAAGAAGATTTGCTTTTAGCAGAGGAAACCTTATCTTTGGATAGGGTGGTGCATGGTAAAAGGTGATCATCCAATGCACCTAACTGATGTAGCTTCTTGCATGCTTCGATACAAGCAAGTTGCATTGCTAATTGCTCATTCGTGCTTCTTGGACCAACTATCTTTTGTACAGCAGCAGAGGCAGGAAATGTCACTGTGTATATGTAAGACAACTCCTCGGGAAATGACAACTCAAACTTTAACTGGGGCTTGTACCTGAACATAGAAATGTTAACACATTTTCTTTCTGTTCGATAAAAGAAAAGCATAATGAAAATAGGTAAATGGGATACATTCCTTACCCATCAGTAGGAAGATTCTTGCAGTACTGACGTAGAACATCGATACTTGAATCTAGAGTAATCAAAGCCCCTGTTGCCTCCACTCGATAGACATTTGTCTCCGGAGGTAGGGTTAATTTCAAGCACTGATATTCTGAATCTTTGGCTAAATCTGTATCTAGCATTGACAGTACCTGCAAGTCCAAGATGCTCTCAATATGAATTTATGGGAAAATATCATACAAATACACGAATTTATTACCAACTTACAGATTAATACACAAACTTTAAAATTCATGTTAACAAGGAGTTCAGAAAAGTTCAGGTCGGTTTTTAGAAATTTTAAAGTCCGTCTAGTAATTTGGGGGTTGATAACAAATTTGTGTACTTATACGAGATTTTCTCTTTTATTTAAAAAGAATCTGTTTTGACGTCTAATAGTTTTCCGAAAACAGAAGTACCTTTGAGTCCAAGATGCTCTCAAGTTCAGAAACTTGACCTGCACAGTTCAAGACACAAATAAGCACCTGAGATGAGATGATGACAGATAGCTCGCGCGTTCATCGTTGTTGATATAAATTGCACCTTTTCATCACGAAGGAAACATTAACAAAGCGATAACAGTCAACGAGTTATTCTAAAATGCCAAGCATTCTAGTGGGGGGGGGGGGGGG